CAGAAGACTTGTTATTTTATCAAATCAATACAAATTAGTATTCCCTATGCTACGTTTTTGTTTTCTGTACCATGATTAAAAGCCGTTATACCAACAAATTAAAAATGTATTCGTTTTAAATATTCGTAACAGATTTTAATTGAAATGAAAATATTTTGTTTTTATATATTGGCAAATAATTGATCGCTCATCCCGAATAGTTTTTTTTTTAATTTATTTTTTTTATAGATTTAATATAACTGTATGACCGTTTCGATTATGTAATCCACATAACATTGATTGTTTTATTAGACCATATTCGAAAATATGTTTCAAATTCACTTATAAAATCATTTGGATAATTCTCGCAGATAAGAAAAGTCATAAAACTATGAATCTATGAATTCTTTCATTTGCATGTACACCAAACAGAAAATCGAGTAATTAACATTGTTATTACTTAGCTTTTATGTAAAATTTATTTTTATTTTTTATATTTATTTTTCTGAAATTAAATAAACTAATTTAATAATAGTACATTAATTAATTAATAATATTAAATACTTTAATTATGTAGTTTAACTTTGTCCAATATATAGCTTAATGTAATAACTTTTCAAATATTGATCGGTCTGTTCACTGGCGGTAATTTATTGTAAAAAAACGACCTTGCCACACAACAAACAATAGGATTATCATTAATTTTATTGATTTTTTTTCTACCTGATTTGAATAATATGTTTTTTCTTCTGAAGTTCACATTTTATATACAATACCCTGATGATATGAGAAATATTTTAACTTAAATCGATTTTTTAGTTTTATTAAAAATCTCCACCAATCGGGAATTTTTTACAACAACCGTTTTTCTTACTTGACCCTTAAAATATAATAAATAAATAAATATATTTATATATACGGACGGTGGCCTGTCAAATGAAGATCTATATATTTGATTTATTTTCTCGCTTGGAAAGAGAGGTCAACGGAGTACAATTTATATGATGTATTAGAAATTAATGATCGCATAAGAAATTATAAAACCGACGTAAACTGAATTCTCACAATGACCATCAATAATAAACTGTATTTGATATATTATTACACATTTACACGATGAAAAACTTTTTTTTTAATACGATAAAATTTCAAAGAATAAACAATACATAGGAAAATAAATGAGTTATTTTTTAACGTACAATATCGTATTGTAAAATGTATTTTAATAACTATCGATACTATTCAACGTCCACACGTTTTTACTTTTATTATGGTAGTAATAAAATTAATTTTTTTTTTCGTTGCGCTTTGTACTTTTATCACTAGTTTTTTTCTAACTTTTCAATGTTTGATAATGAGATATATTATGTTGTACGACCTATGCATACATTACTAAATTCAGTTTTTATATGATTATGTGGTGGAATATATTTTACTTCACTTTTCCTTTTATAAACCCTTGCCTGCTAATACCTTTTACTTTGAATATTTTGCAAATAGAACGAAAATTTTTTTTGGCGAAAATGAAAAACACAGAAAATTTATGAAAAATTATATGGTGTTATAAATTCAAATTTCCAAAGTAAACGAAGACAATATAGAAACATAACAATATAATAATAATCAATAGCTTCTTTTTTAGCTTCATTTTGTGTCCGTGTCTTAATGTTTATTCATTTGTCGCTAAATAAAAATGAAAATAAATCCAAAAGATCATTAGACAAATGTCAAAATATAATAGCCTATTGCATATATTTAATGTTCAAGTACAAACGCTTTCCTTAATGTTATAGGATGTACATCCAAAATATCCTAAACATCTAAAAATCCATGACTCTTAATTTGTTTTTTATTTTTACAAACAAACATGTTATAGTGTATCGCGATGGTTAATTTCCTATTATACGATATGGCAAACGAACATTATTTTGGAATTTATTTGGTTCGATGAGTAGATTTCTTCATGAATACTAGTTTGCACACATTTATCATGATTGTAACTCACCTGTTAGAACACAGTTTTATCATTGGTTTGCGTAGAGGTTATTTCTCTTATGACTGTTAATTTGTAGAGAAATTAAACACATGGGTACATTTTAACTTTACACGTGAAGTTAAAAATGTGCTTTTGGTGCTTTTTATGTTAATTATATAAAATTATTTTTATGAACCCATTATAAACTATAAGATTTATTATTAAAAAAACGACTACTCTAGAGAATTACCTTGAAAGCGGTTACCTACATATTTCAAGTACTTAATTTGATCCATTTCAGAGCTTGAATATTTCATCTACACATTTTTCTTATTCTCCAATATTTGTATTATTGCTTTTCGACAATAATTATATAAATTGTGTTTTATGGATTTAAATTCAAGTTCAGTTTTTGATTGAATGTTTAAAATGGCATCAATAATTTGGACCACATATGAATTAAAGCTGTATAATTTATTAATAAAATCCTTGTGAAATATGCAGCTCTATTCGTTGTTCGTGATTAAATAGTATAACGAAATCTAATGTTTCGTATTAAGTCATATAATTGCGCAAATGAATATTCTATTATATAATATTTTATGTGCAATCGAGTGATAAATTCTCATATTTTCTGCTAGACCTAGTCACAGATTTTAATTAAAAAATCGTACAATGTGCGTAGACTAGTTACAGCCTTCCATATTATCCTAAAAATGGTGCATTGACGTACTGACCGACCGACCTGGACAGACTATATTTGGTGTTCTTTAAAATCGTAAAAACGTAGTGGCTAAACCCACTTTGGCATTGATCGAGAAACAAGCGTTCGTTCAATGATACGCAATATGCTGAATAGGCATATGACGGACCCGAAAATGTGTCCTTTCGTTGGTTTTAATTTTAATTAGTTTTACACTCCTTTCAACCGATCAGCAGAAAGGAAATCAGCGTACGTTTTGTTTAAAAGCGTTCGATTTTTAGTTAAATTATGATTAACACTTGTAAGCTATTAAAATACATTTTTATTCCTGTTATATTCGACACAACGAATGACTGCAGGTTAACTGTCCTTCGATTATACTCACTCGGCAACGGCTTTTTGACAATTTGTTACTGCACGCATGTGAATACGAAGAAATTATATTCTGGACACACCGCACTACAAATAAATTAACTACAGATCGAATATTTGCATTATAATATATTGCAAATACATTCAAATTTAATCGCATGGTTTTCAAACTAACGAATCAGTATTAATTAAAGAGTGGCAACTAAGGAATGTGCTCCCGTCTAGTATTAACTTAAAACTCTGCTCACTTAAAAATATAAAGTCTTCAATAAACCAATGTTGTCAAAAAATGTTAACTATGGGTCAGATGACCTCCTGAACCTCGCCCCTCCCTAGGTACGTCCTTGCAATACGTGATAAGTGGTTATTATCATATCGTTTTCACGATGATCTAACAGATTTTCTCATTACAGAAAATATTCTTTCAGTTCACAATCTAACATAATACAATGTTTACCTACGATTAACTTATTACGTCAACTAACTGGATAATTAATCACCCCCAACAACCTGTATATCGATAGTGTTCTACGTAAAAGTAGGTTATATTTAATTTCTGACTGTAAATATTCGTGTAAAAATCGATAAGTATTATTATTAAACACTACACCGTGAACGCCAGTAATACGATTACACTAAACTCGACTTTATATTATGTGTTATTATTTGTTGATTTAGCCGATCGTTTGTAGACTGCAAGATGAAATATAACGGTACAAATGTCAAGTGCGTTTTATGAATAATATTTTCGATTAGTTTTTTGTTTCATCGAACGAAGTAGAAATTTTAAAATTATTTTCACAAGTACAATCATTGAATTAACGTCAAATATTGCATTACGATCGTAACAATATATAAAAAAAAAAAAACGGCATTTAATACCTACCTACCTCATATTTTTATCACAATAATTGCTATAGTTTCGGTGCGCGCTATTAAGCTATGTAGTCGTCCCGATGTGAATTAAAATATGCCACCCTTAAGAAAATTACAATTATTTTTATCAAAATAAAAAACAATATATGCAATAGAGAAAATTTGTATTATAGTTTTATACAGTCATACGAGAAAAATTATAATTAGATATTTTTTATTTTGTTGATCTTCAAAAATTTGCCGCCCCGAGGAAATTTCCCTCCTTGCCCCCGTATTACCCAGCTCTGGTTTCGTGCGCAAACGTTGTACAACTGCACTTAACATACTATTTTCTTTTTTTTATTGTTTTATTTTTATTTTTTCTTTAGGTAAATCATTTTTAAAATTAATTTTGCTAAAATATTTTGCCGCCCCTGAGACTTGACGCTCCCATGCATGTTCCTACCTGTGCCCTTCCCCCTAAATACGGGCCTATGTCCAATGAATTCGTTGTCGGCGGTACCGTCTTACGGGTTCGTTGTTACAGCTTCATCGGAGTCCTACGATGGGATTTCGGTTATTATTTCTTATCATCCACGCGGCGGTACATGTCAAACCGAGTGCGGTACGTCCGTTAACCTGGCGAAAAAAATAATTTAATCCCGAGTTCGTGTTCACGGTGTTATCCGTTTACGAATGAGAATACCGAGCGACGCAATGCTGCGTTATACGCCGTCTCCGACAGGAAAAAACGCTGTAAATTCTATATATATATATATATATATATATATAATTATTCCATGAAAACCAACTCGAAATAATAACTACGCGGTATTCGAGCTCGCGTGCCGTTTGATAACGAAAGCATTTTATTATTATTATTATTATTTTTTTTTACAACTGCAGTTCGTTTTGATAGTCTTCTGGTCGCGGAAATAAGTTCGATCACTATAACGATATATCTTGTGCGTAACGAATACAGTTGTGTTCACGCAAAACGTACCGGAATGTTAATTGCTTCTAAATTCGGTCGTTAATCATCGCGAACAGTGTTTCCATAAAAATGCGCCATGAAAGCTTGACATTTTCATTTATTTGTTTATTTTTGGCGAGCAGATGATAATCGTCCAAACAGCGGGTCACGGAGGAACAAAGAGTTTTGAAACCGAGCTGTTCTAGAATATCGTGTACGAGTAATCGACGACTTTACCGTCCACGGTCTCACCAGATCTATCTCGGATCTATCACGAATGTGCAGGACGTAAACAACGTTTTACAATCGATGTTTCATTATAATAACCGCGTAAGTATTTTAATCGATCACTAAATATAATAATGCGTTCACGTCGATTTGGCCAGAACACTGTTACACGCGTGCGCGTACACACACATCAAATTATAGAAGTTGCCTGTTGTTCCATTAGTGTTGAACACTACGCCTACCCACTTACACCGGGGTTAATTAATAATTCGTTCGTTATTTTCGCTTCGACAAACCCTGCGCGGCCTCCACGACCAAACTTTGCTACGGAGTGATTTTCTGTTTTCACCGCACATGACTTTTTAAAAGCTATTGCGAAGATCATTACGTGCGCTTTGGTAAATTTATTAACACACATATTTACGTGTGAGCACAGTACATGATTTCGTGGAAAACTGTACACGTAATCAATTGTGAAATGCGAGAAAAATGTTGAAAACCGTAAACATATGTATGGTGTGATCACGATCTCAAGTACCCCTAAATAATTTAGTTGGGTTGACCTTGAAGGCTTGAGGGATATCAAAATACACATTATCTGACAACTATCGAATTTTTAACCCTTACCGTACACACATGCGCAATAAAAATTACTTTTTTTAATGGCAACCATAATTTTTCTCTACTTGGTTTTTTTTAAAACATCATTGGTCAAGAGCGACTTACTGGACTAGCTCTTCTAAATATTTATAGAGACGTAATTTTTGATCCTTTACAAATTGTAAACAAACTAATACAGCGTAGGCAACGATCAAATTTACTAATATAGGTAACATTTAATTTAAAAAAATAATATTATAAGTATTTTTATTAATACTAATAAATGAGTGATGACTTATCTTGGACCAATGAATTTATAATTTTTGATTACTGCCTAGACCTTCTCCACCTCCTATGCGTTACTGAAATTGATGATTTGGGCTTCCTCTATTTTTCTTCTCAAGACTTTCGACCTTACATTGATTTTATCGTTGATAAAGCGCTCCGTTTACTTGGCTTTATAAAGCGTCATTCATCTAACTTTGATTCCCCCAAATGTTTACAGCTTTTTGTGGCTCTTTAGTAAGAACGCTACTAGAATACTCTGCCGTTGCTTGGTCCCCTTATACCTTATGTGACATGTGAGATCAAGATAAAGTTCAAAACCGCTTTCTGAATTTTGATAGTTATCGTCTCAACATTTCCCTCCCATCCTACGAATAAGTCATGTCAGCGATTTTTTAAATCTTAAATCTTTAACCGATGGCAGTATTATTTCCTGTTGCAGTTTTATCAATGGACTTATCGAAGGAACTGTTGATGTACTTCGTTTGTAAGAACGACTTGACTTTCGTGTTCATCTCTGTATCTCGCCTGACTTAGAAGTATTGCCTCTTTTTGTCATTGGTTATTTTCAGGAAGCATATTTAAAAATATTTTTCTCATATGAGATTTTTATTTGATAAATAGGTCTCCATGAGGTTTTTTAACGAATTAAGAACGAAAATAGTTCAATAACATATAACAAAGTGAACACACATTATTAAGTACTAAACTAATAAGCCACAATAAATATTAATTTATCTATTCTGGTTCAATATCATATTTTTTTTACCAAATTCAGCGAGAAAATAAACTTTAAATGGTTGCTAAATATTTCACTGACCTATAATTCAGAGGATAAAGTAAAATCACTATTAGTTTTAACACAACCACACACCAAAGTGCAATTTATTTATTTTTATTTTTAAACGGTATTTCAAGTTTTTTAAGTTCTCCATATTTCCATTTACCCAACTAAAACGCTCACAACATAAACCAGATTAGAGAAATAATTTTTTAAACCAAAAACTAAAATGCACACTTTACGATGAAAGCATCCGAACATTCGGTTGTGGTTTTAATAGTCTAAAAAAATTTAAACAGCATCATATATATATATATATATATAATATAGTATGTAGTATAGCGAAAATAAGAGAAAATGTATTTTAAAAAAATAAAATCATTGAAATAAGTAGTTAATTTTCAATAATCGAATTTCCATTTTTATCAATTGATTAGGATAGTATTATTACTGTTTATAAAATATTACCAAAAGAATATTTTCCGATACTCCTATATGTATTTTTATTAAGATTTTATTTAATAATTAAATTATTGATAAAACTTCATGGTAAAATAAAGATTGAGTTGGACTTGTTCCCTAAATAAAGAAAAATATTTTTATTTTTATGTTCTAGCGAAGGGATAATTAAAATTAATTTCTATTTGAAGCGCCGTATCAGCATCAAACCTTTTAGACTATAGTATAATTGTTCTTTCAAAGTATCTGTTATTATGTTCTTAGTAGATATCGTCAAAATGTAATTGATTAGTATTATTTAATAACTGTGTATTTTTCTGACAGTAACGATAATTTTGTACTTTGATGAGTACCGTCGTGAACAGCATTAATTTTGATGATATTCGATCGAATACAAGCTGCCATAGAAATGATTTAAAGAAATACTTTCAGTTAGTAAAATAACGCTTAAATCTTAAATCTTGGTGATGTTTCGTTGTAGAAGAATAATAAATTTCATCGTCACGTCAATCAAACTCAAGGGATCATCGTCGTCGTTCTCGTATTACAATTCTGCTACAGTGTCCGTTATTTGCGAATCACTCGGCGCAAGGCGTATTGATCGCGTATGGTACGGATTTGTCCTTGTTAAACTGTCACGTTTTATCGAAATATATTTTCGATCATCGTTACGAAAATGATTGATGGACGTACATGCATACACACACATGCACACATACTATTCATATATAAATATCACGTACCTAAGTATACTAATGAGTCACAAATAATATATTTGAAATCGTAAAACCGTGTAACGTTTGCACACATACGAGAAATGAAAATATATTTTTGCGATAAGCAACTCAATTCGGTACATTACTATCTGTCTACACTATGGTATGCATTATCCTATAGTCGTTTCTTAGCGTAACGATTGTATACGATATATGCGTCTAGCGACGTAGATTGGCAGAAGAAAGAGTTCCCCAATAGGAGAAACAGCACAGACGATACATACGAAGGTTAATGTGCAAACGTGTACAAATATTTGTGGTGTGTTTTTGGAATAAGGATCTGCAACGAAGATTGGATGAAGAGATAATTTTTCGCTCCATGCACGTGATCCGATCAATCAAAGTCAAATCATAAATGATCAGTAGTATCAGCTGCAGTGCTGGTGGCAGTAACGAGGATGGCAAATAGTAAAAAAATAAATGGTTAAATTTAAAATCTATTTCATATCAACTCCGCTCAAGTACTTTCCAGTACGTTGTATCAGCTATTGTCGAGTGTCATATTTTATTATCTGGTAAAATAGTAGTGTCGGTGTGCACACACATACACGTGCGCACGTATAGTACGAACGTAAGTAAAATACACTTGTCTAAAAATAAAATCAAAATGTTCGTAAATGTTAATTCACATCTCCATAAAAATAATGATCACGTACGATTTGTATTTTGTTACGTAAAAACCATTTTTTTTTTCACGCGCCGATCAAAGCCTATGTTAAATTATAACATTTTCATAAATAGCTACTCGCTAATGCTCTAATAGAGAGAAAAAAATTATATCTATGGGTTCAATGCGTAAAACACATTATACTGTGGTTATAAATTAATCGGTTTCCCCGGATCGTCGAGACGTCTGTATTTTATTGCAATAGCGTGAATAATTTATTGCTCGTGCGCTATGATTTATGAATATGTTTTTGATTTAACTATAGCTAACAATTTCAAATAAATTGTGATTGCATATTTGACTAAACATACTTGGTATAGTGAATGTAGTTACCATAATATTATTATTCGACAAGTGGTAATAGATCCCTACGGATTGTTTTATCAGAAATAACATTAATCGCAAATGGTCGAAATTTCATTATATTGATTTTAAATGGGTATTTGTGATATGGAATCAATTATCTGTATGTTATCTTCACTGCATAATGTGTGTGTTTCTAGTCGAGACCTTGTCTGTATACATTTTTAAATTTACCTCGTGCGTACAATGAGAGTTATGAATATCATTTCAAGTTTGATTATACATTTCACATGTGTTGATCGTTGTGATGATACTTTTGAACTGCGATTTGACATGTAACACATTAGTTAAAAGAATGTATTACAATAGCCATATTGATGTGAATCAATCGTAGTATGATTGTAAATAATTAATTGCACATTAAAAATGTCAAAACTTTTTGTCAAGCGTATCATTATAACGGAAAATATTGTGAAGTGTATCTCTTCGTCCATTTTTTTTTACTTTCCACTGTCGCACTATTTTGATGGCTTCGTAAACTTTCGTTGAAACCATTAGCACATCAAAGATCCTACGCCGATGACTCATATTTTTTTCGTCGTCAAATGCTAAACCGAGCTTACTTTTTAAAATGTCCCGACAATAGTTCTGAAAGGAGTTTATCGATTCCATCGAATATCTTTATATATTGATTACGCCGAAGATTTATATATTTATATTAGAACATAACATATGCAATAGAACCTCGATAACTCGAATCGGTTGGGGACAAAAGAAAAATTCAAGTTATCGAAAATTCGACTTATGGAAAACCTCGATTAAAAATTCGAGTTACCGAACATTTTTTTTTTTTTATTTAAAAACACATTTTAAGACTTAATTTTATAATTTTTTTTATTTATATATTTACTAATAAATGTATAATGCATGTAGATATGTATATTGTATTACAATTTTAAAAAAGTATAGAGTTATAAATTGTATGTAATAAAGAAAATACAATGTAATGAATAAATTAGAACTATTTTTTAAAGAAATCTGATACTTTTGATTGTTTTTTATTGTTTGACTTATCTCTTAAGTTATCAATAACATTTAGCACGGAAAAAATCTCTTCTCCAATTTCTTATTGTTCTTAAATATACTTACATACAACTTGTAAACCAGGGACCAAAACCGTAACCGAAAACAACCGGTACTGGAAGCGATTAACGTTTAAAATTTAAGAATC